TTAGGCGACGGCCGCTGACGCGGGCGCGTAAAATAATCCCGTTCTGATTAAGCGATCAAGGAGCAGGAGGTAATCAATGTTACTTTTACAGCCGGGAGCGTTCCGCGGCCGTGACGTGGGGGGGCAGCGGCGAGCGCTGCGGGGACAGCCGGGGCGGGGACAACCCGGCTTCGGCCCCCCGGCTCCGCCCGCGGCATCGGGGCGCCGCGGCCCGGAGCCGACTCAGCTGCGACCGGGGCTGCCCCAGCCCGGGTGCGTGCCCCCACCCCATTCATGTTGGCTGGGGGCTGCTTTTTTCTTGCCTATTCTGGCTTGGAGTGGTTGGGGGAGGGGGGGGGGGGGTTGGAAATCGGTGCTGGACTCGGATAGGAGAGGTGGGGAAGGGCTTTTGCCCGAAGTGATGGGGGAAGAGGCGTGCACGCGGAAGGGTCCCCTGAGAGCACAGCCTGCCCTCGCTCCCTCCTTAATGTGGGGCTGCCCCAAGGCCCAGCCTGGGCCACGGCTCTGCGGGAAGAGGGAATCGAGGTGCAGAAAGGCAAAACTCAGTGTTCTAAGACAAGTGTGTTCCCCGCCTCGTTTCGTCATGGCCAGCAGCACTCTCACTTGCTTGTGAGGGAAAAAGTCCTTTTCCCCTTCCAACTAACAGTCTCTACACCCCCATCCCGCTTTACAGCCACGCTGTTCTCCCAGCAGCTTGGTCACAGTGCATGAGGCACTAGAAGATGCAACCACCCCCTCCCCCCCAATCCCACAGCTATCAGCACAGCACACAGCATTGCAGGGGGTCCTGGGACGTTTTTATTATTGGAGCTTGTGGCATTACTGGCACTGGCAGCGGAACAGACAGGCTCAGGAACTATAGGAACTTGTCTTCAAGTAAAGGGTATAGACTGTTGGGTTCATTACTACATCATGTGAAGGCCAAAACAAAAAAACAAACAAAAAAAACCACAAACGAAATTCGACTATAAAAATAAATTTACATTTTGTAAATAACAAAAGCAAATATAGTGCCTTTTGGCTTAACGAAACCAAACAAAAAAAAAAAAAAAAAAAGAGACGACTATTGGATGTCAACCAGTTATCCACATTTCTGACATAAATAGAAAATATAAGTTAGTATAACTCTTAAAAAGAAAAAAAAAAACGTTTTGTACAAATATACACTTGCTTCTTTCTTCTTTGTCCTTTTTTCTTAGGCTTTTTTTTTTTTTTTTTCTTCCCTCTTCACTGAGAGATCAGCAGAGATTAAACATTTCCATATAAATGACTTTTTTTTTTTTCTCCCCTCCTTTAAAGCTTTACACTTCTGGCCAGTGTACTCACATTAGGCATAATACATTTCTGTACACAACGTCACACATTGCACACTCGTACGTTAACACTGCTCCGTGCGCAGCCGCTCCCGGCGGGCGGGCGCTGCGGCTGCGGCTCCGTCCCCGCTCCGGCGGCGCTGCGGGTCCCGGGCCGGGCGCGGTGCGGGGGGGTCCCGGCTGCCCGCAACTCCGGGGCACGGCGCCTGCGGGCTGCGCGCCTCTCCCGTGGGTGCCGTAGTGCAAAATGCTGAAGGGATAAAGAGGAGGAGGGGAGTTAGAAGCGAGGGGAGAGAGACGTGGTTAAGGCTGCGTCCGCTCCTGCCCCTCCCTTTGGCTTCCCCGGAGCTCCTCACCTGGCTCAGCGGAGCCGCTTGCGGGGGGTGTGCTCAGCCGGCACGGCGGCGGGGGGCTGCGGGCAGCCCGCGGGGCGCTCGGCCGCCGCTTTGGGCTCGGCCGGCCTTTTCCTCCTGGCGAAGAAATCTGGAGGAGAGGGAAGGGGGCCGTCAGCAGCCGCAGAGAGAGCACCGCGGTGCCGCCACCCCTTCCCCCATCGCCCAGCCTCCCTACGCACGCACCTGTGATACGGGTCGTGGGGCCGCTCCGTCGGGGCCGTAGCGCACGTCGGCGGGGCGCGGCGCGGTTCTCCCGGCTCAGGCGCGCCCCCGGCCCCCCCGGAGCTTTGGCGGCGGCGATATTGGCGATGGACGGCGGGGCCGGGGGTGCACGGCGTAGGGGAACGCGGTGCCGGCCCACCTGCAGCGTCTCCCGGTAGAATGCGGGCACGGTGCCGCCCTCCACCTCCTCCCAGCGCAGGCGGCCGGGCCCGGGCAGCGGCGTGTCGGTGTGGAAGTTGTAGTCCCAGCGGCGCTGGTCGTCCTCGCCCATCTCCCGCAGGCGGCTCCGCAGCTCCCGGCCCAGCTCCTCGTGGTCCACCGGCCCGAATAAGCTCCTGCAGACCGCGCTGCGGCCGGGCACGGGCAGCGCTCGCAGGGCCGCCAGGCGCTCCGGAGCCGCCGCCGCACCCGAAAGGTGCACGTCGGACATCGCCGCGGGGTGGGTGGGTGCGTGGCCGCCCGCCCCCGCCGCTCCCCTCGCTGCCCGTCCCGTCTCGTCCAGTCCTGTGCCACGCGCGCTCCGGCCCTGCCTCCGCCTCTGAGCCCCTTCCCCCGGCTCCCGGCTTTTAAACCCCGCTCCCCGCGAGGGTGAGCAAAACAACCATTAGCATAATAGTATTTCCCCGCCGCCGGCCCGCCGCGATTGGCGGGTCCCCCCCCGCCAGCCCCCGGCCCCCAGCGGCAGCCCTCCTGCCCGCGCCCTCCATTGGCTGCGCCGGGCAGCGCCGCGCCGCCGCCGGCCGCATTGGCCCGGCTCGGCCCCGCCGCGGCCCGGGGGGGCGGCCCCGGCGCTGGCCCGGCCCCGGGGGGGCGGCACGGAGCTCCCCTCCCGCCGCGTCCCCGCGCCTTTGTCTGCCCGCGGCCGCTGCTCCCTCCCATCTCCTCCTTTCCTCTCCTCTCGGGGCTGCTCTGGGCCCCTCCCTCTCGCCTTCCCTCTAGAGGTGTGCGCGTTTGGGGCGTCCTCACAGTCAGTTTTTATCCTTTCTTTCTCTCTCTCTCGTTTTTCCTGTTCTTCTTTTTTTCCCCTGAGGAGACGTTGCTCAGCATCCACAGGCGCGGGAGGAGGACTGGGGTGGGTTCTGGCTGCGTGGTTTGGTTGCCCTGCCGCAAAACAAAGCGGGATGCTCGCAGAGTTCAAAACAAGCTGAGGGCAGCCTTTAAAAATAGCACTTCTCGGCTGCATGGAATTAATAAGCTGCAGCCTCGCTGAGCAGAGCTACATGGAAACCGCAGCATTTTCCTCTCCTAACTTTTAAGCCCGCATAAATGCTTCCCTGACAGAACTCAAGGCCAGGCTGGATGGGGCTTGGAGCAACCTGGTCTAGAGGGAGGTGTCCCTGCCTATAGCAGGGGGTTGGAACCAGATGGTCTTGAGGGTCCCTTCCAACCCAAACCACTTTATGATTCCATGATAAGACATGGTCAGCGGCACGTGAGCTCATCTCACCATTATGCTGCCCTCCTGTTTGAGCAGCCCTTGTCTTGGAGTGGGGTGGGGAGTGCCTTTTTAAGATACTCATCTGGATGGATGTGTGTCCATCAGCAGGGAGGTGTTCAAATGGAGATCTTTTGGAACCCCACGGTGGGAGGGGTGTTGGCAACACCCAGATCAATGGCCCATGCAACCTTATCAAGAGCTGGTGCCACGAGAAGTCCTCGTGCAGCAAACCAAGTGAGAGAGCAAGTAGGACAAAGAGTTGCAAAGGTGTGCGTGATCACAGGCAGTTTGCAGCTTTGCATTTGTACCAGTGGCAGTTTTGCATGGTACTTTGGAGTTCTGAACTCCAAGCTGTACCACCAGCTCCGCGACCTTTCGAGTTATTGCAGCCTGGGTACATTCAGAACTGTAATAAAAAAAAAATGAAGGTGGATGCCAGCCACGCCTCGAGGATGCAAAATCTAGGTTTAAAAACACAACAATAACAAAACTCCTCTCTTGAAGATGCTCGCAACCCGTGCCCGGCGCCGGCCCCGATGTGCGGGGCGATGGTGCCCTCTAATGTCGGCCGGGCCGGGCGGTGCCTGGCTGCGGGACGTACCGCCTCGTACCCCGCTGTGATGCACCGGGTGTCCTACTGCTGCAGGGGAAGGGGAAATGATTTCGAACTAACAGAGAGGAAGTTTAGAGGAGATCTAAGTACGATGTTTTTTTATGATGAGGGCAGTGAGGCACTGGCAGCGGTTGCCCAGAGGGGTGGATGCTTTTTCCCTGGAGACGTTCAGGGTCAGGCTGGATGGGGCTCTGAGCACCTGATCTAGTGCAGGTGTCCCTGCTCACTGCTGGGGAGTTGGACCAGATGGCCTTTAAGGGCCCCTTCCAACACAAGCAGTTCTCTGATGATGATTCTTTAATTCTGTGAGAATAAGAGAGTTAGCTTTAGGTGAGCGGGGCCAGGAGGGCTGGGTGCAAGAGGATGCACTCATAATGGGCTCACAGTGAAGCTTGATCTCATGAATTAAAGACACTTTCATCCTGATGCTGACAGATATCCTCCTGCTCTCCAGTGAGCAGCTTTACCAGCATGAGCAGTACAGTTCTCTCAGGCATGTCATGCAATAGAATGTTCTGCAGGGAGTCCCACAGTTTGTTTGAAGCCAAAGAGAGGATTGTGTCACAGAAGTAATGGTGTTTGTTCTGGAGAGAGCATAAACAAGCGCTGATTATTTATCAATAAGCACGTGCCTCACACAGCAAAGTACACGCACATAGTTTCACATGATAGCATTTTGCACTGACACAGTACAACTTCTGAAGAATGCTGTAAGCAATGGGTTTTGAAAGAGCGCTTTTGAAAGAGTGCTTTAAAGCCCCTGGAAATTAGGGCTCATTTCTTTTTGTCTGCAGCAAATTCATTCTGAGGGCAGGTGCGGAGGGAGCAGCGAAGGTTCTCCAAAGCCTTCCTGTGGTTCGAACCAAAAAGTAGCAGGGAAACCATCCCTCTTGTAAGTAAAACCAGGACTGTGAGCATTTAGAAGTGCTGATACAGTGATGTGCTGTTGTCGGGCCACCTCAGTCAATGTCACTGCCTCTGAGCTGCTGATAAATTCATCCCCGCTTTGCTATGGCTATCCCTCCTCCTCCATTCCACCTCATCCCCATATGGGCAGTGACCACATGCCACATGAAGTCGTTCCAAAGCTGCACAGCATGTGGCACATGGGGCAGCCATCCCCTTCTCTTTACATCCCAAGGAGAAACCAACCTGGGAACGGGGCAGGGTATGTATGCACATCTTCCCTGCCTGCATGCAGGTGGGGTTTGTCTGGGAGCATCACACAGACCTCTGTGTAGGGGACCAGGGTGGGATGGGTGAGGCCTTACTGACGTGTGCCTTGCAGCTCTCTGATTGCCCTACAAAGAAACCTACATTAGCAGGAACATTAAATACACATCCGTGTTTTGTTCTGTGCCGAGTACATCTTAGCTAGACAGCCAACCAGCAGAGGGACTGCAGTTACATTGTGTTACAGGGGTCTCTCAAACGTCTGAAAGTTATAAACCGGGTGATTGTCTGATTCTGACACAGGAAAATATTTTGGTAGATGCAGGAGGCTCGAGACCAGCTGAAAGCATCTCAGGCGCCCATTGTTTGCAGAATGTAATGTTTGCAGAGGAAATCTGCAGCATTCCTGCAACAAACCACAACAAGAGGCTTCATACAGCCCAAATCATTTACAATTCTCATATAAATTATAACGGCTTAAATGTTATTTAGATGATAAACAGCTTCTGCATTCCAGACATCGCTGTGATTCCAGGAGGTGGCTGTATGATATGGGCTGAATGACACATTGCACATTGAAGGCTGACCGAGAGGCTTTCTTTGTCTGTATGTGCGTCCATTTTTGTCACATCTTGCATATTCTTTGGATATAAACGTTTGGGCTTCCTATGTACTTTGCTCTCTACAGTGACCCAAAAGGAGGTTGTGGCAAGGATTGTCCTCTTCTCGTGGGTCACAACAATAGGATGAGAGGTGATGGCCTTAGGTTGAACCAGGGGAGGTTCAGGTTGGACATTAGGAAAAATTTGTTGTCAGAAAAAGCGGTGATGCATTAAGAACAAGCTGCCCTGGGAGGTGTTGGGGTCACCATCCCTAGATGTGTTCAAGAAAAGGATGGATGTGGTAGTTGGGGGCACGCTCTGTAGCAGTCAAAGGCATGGGATGATGGTTGGACTGGATGGACTTATTGATCTTTCCAACTGTCATTGTTTTGTGATGGTTCTGTGATATTTCTGAGACACACAGTATGTGCATCTTGGAAGCCAGAACTTCAGATGCTGTCCAGCAGCAAGTCTGGGGACAAGCATCCTTTGCCCGAAGGGGCAGAGCCATCTGGAGGTCCTGGGGAGGTCTGGGTAGGTAGAGGAGGCTGTGATCATTGCAGCCCCACGTGACAAGATGAGGAGTGACCTCAGCAAGGTGTCATTTAAAGCAGGCACCATTCTGTCCCAGCAGGGCACTGCCAGAGCTGATGTGATGGGATGAGTGCAAAGAGCCGTGTGTTCTCTGCCTATGTGGTCATGTTATTCTTGGTGTGACTCCTGAAGTCAGGCCACAGCATTTTTCCAAAACTCGTTCACAATTGACACAGTCTCTACCCCATCTGCATATGTGTTGATGTCAGACTCCAGCATTCAGAAATGTTCTCTTTTGGTTTGATTTATCCAGAGAGGAGAAGCTGCCCTGTGGTTAAGCAGCAGCACTGGAGGCCAAAGGATGACCAAATCTGATTCCAGTCTCTTCCACAGACTTCCTTCGTGATTTCGAGCCATCGCACCCTGCTGGCTGTCGGAGCACCAGCTGTGAGCCAAGGCGGATCCACTTCTTTTCCCTCATCTGAGTCTGGAGCTCTTGTTTTGCTTGCAGGGCACCAGACAGGGTTTCAGTATTAGATGGAGCTTTGGGGCTCTGCCATTAAAAAGTCAATTAGAACCAGCCCTATTTCAGATAAAGTGTGATTTGCAGTTTAATATGCTAAGTAACAAAGACTTTACCAAAATAATGAACAATGGTCTTTTTCCATTTCACAAAACAATTCGCCAGGCAGAATAAGCACACCCGCATTTTTATAAAAACAAATTACAAATAATTGCTTTTTGCAATTTAATACACATGTAGAAAGAGCCAAAAGAGTCCTGCAGCCACTGGGAATCTGATTTCATTGCCGATTTGGACCATTTCTGTAGTTCTTATGAAAATCCCCAAAGACTGTGCTATTTTGCTATTTTGCAAACTAAAGAAGGCTCTTTTTTTTCTTTTTTTTTTCTTTTTTTTTTTTTTCCTTTTTTTTTTTGCTGGCCTTGTGGATTCTTTTTCCATTCATTAGCAAGCTGCTTTTTTTTTCTTTTTTTCTTTGTGAACACAATTAGACAAAAGAATAAATCAGTCGACAACTGTGGGACATAATTCTGGCCATACCAGGGCTGTATGTGCTCTCATTTGCTCAACAGTGCAAATCTTTCAGCACAGCACAAGTCAGAGCCTTCCACTCAGGTTGGAAAGGGAATGATGCCTTGTGTGAGCAACATGAGCCCATACAGTGCTTTGGGTTCCCATTATCAGAGTGTTTCTCCACCAGGAGCATCCCAGTCTCCTTCCTGGAAAGGCCTGAAGGCCTTTGGGAATACTTCAGGAGGTTGCTTCCCTTTCCCCTACCACACTTCTGAGCTTCAGAAGCATCACTAGGAGGATGGTTCCCTGGGGGTTGTCTCCCAAAGGGATCTTTTGTTGTTGTTCTGGAGCAGAATCTGGATGATCTCACTGCTTTTTTTCACAGCTGGAGGGACCACCAACTCACTTTGACAAAGGATTTGATTCCTGAGAGCTGCCCTTTGTTGCTGGCCAGCACTTCTGTCCCTTTTAAAGGCCCTTCTGAGATTGTAAATCCTGTTCTGACAGGTGGATCCCACCCAGAGCTCTTGGCATTGCTGCAGGTCACATTAACCTTCCTCTGTCAAAAAAAGTCAGGTGAAGGGAAGGATCTAGGATGGATTTCCTCACGGTTTATCCTTTCTCAACCAACATTTCCAACTGCTGCAGTTGCCGTGGGTGGGTTTCCCCTCCCCAAGTGCTTTCAGCTGGCCAGGCTTCCCATTTCCAGTGATTTAAGAAAGATTTCTTCCCGAGTAACATAAACACTAAGTCTTTGCAAATTTCTTTTGTAAAGTTGTTCTCGGGTTTCCCCATCTATTTTTCCAGAGATTACCAGATAAATAGGCCTCAGGAAAGATATACCAGGGAGGGCAACTGTAAATACGCCAAAAATGTTGAGAATAATTGTCAAGGCTTAATGCATAGCTAATGGCCTAATCTGCAGTATAATCACAAGGCATTCACACTCATCTCCTTGCTTGCTTTCAACACAGTCTCCCTGGGATATGCATCTGTTTAAAGTTTATTTATCGTACCCAAGAAAATTCATCTTCTATTCTTAATGTGTTCTCCCCTGCTTTAAAAATCAGTCTCTCTTATTTCCATGTGACTCGTCAGTGACGTGATGACCCAGAACAGACCCCTTAGAACAAAATGCAGTACCAGTGTGGACAACCCATTGGGAATGATGTGTTAGCACTGCAGAGTAGCCGAGTCATGGCTGGATTGGGCTCCTGGGCAGGATGAGGCTGTCTGTGGAGGCAGAGGGTGGCTGATGGAGAGCAAAACGTATGCAAGTCATTGCCTCCCTGGAATCCCTTTCCAGTTGCTGCAGAGACAAATTTACCAGTCAAAATATTGCAGCTTTTCACGTCCAAGTCAGCAATGTTTCCTGTTAGCACTGTTTCACATTGTATTTCGTGAGCTGTTTTCGTGATTGTCTCAAAACCTCTGGAAAGAGAGCTCTGTCATTAATTTTACTCTTCTATTCAATGTTGGCAATTTGTGCATTGTGCCTGCCCAGTGCAAACCAGGAAGTCTTACTTGACAATGTTGCTGCTGTGTGCAGGAAACCCAAAGCGCAAAAAAACCCATTGTTTTGCACTTAGACAAATTCAATGCCCAGCACCAATCCTTTGCTAAATTGGGATGCACTCTGGGTAACCTTCCTTCTTTAGTAACAAATGCGACGTCTAAGCTGTCCTGAGCTGGGTCTGCATCGCCATAGGAGGGTCACTCTTTAAAAGTGCTTTTTGACTCATGCTCTCTCTGAATTTGTTTGCAGAAGGCTGTTCCTTGCAGCCTCCAGCAGCACAGCACCAGTCCCTGGTGAAACATTAAACCGTCGATCCTCCCTACATTCACCAGGAGGCGGAGCCTGACAGCCCTCTCCAAAACACTGGGCTCCCCCCCTGCACTCCACCATGAGGTGTGCCTCACCTTCTCATCATCTGGTTGTGTGCCATGAGAAGGTCCCTCGCTCCTCATCCCTCGGTTTGGCTGGGCTACCTGGGAGGTCAGGGGGTCTGCAGGACTTGGTAGAATTGTAAAATCACAGAATGGTTTGCATTGAAAGGGTCCTTAAAGATCATCTAGTTCTAATCCCCCTGCCCCCAATGTCTTTGGCAAAGAGTGGTCCAGGGGGATCCAACAGCAGCCTGCAGCTGCTCCAAGCGCTTGGAGGTGATCCAGCCAAATGCATCTTGATGGTGGCAGCTGATACCTCAAGGGACAGTGGCCACTGGCTGCAGTTTGAGAAATGTGGATTGGTCATTAGGAAAAACATCTCCCCAGGTACTGGAAAAGTGGCAGATCTCTTTCCCTGGGTGTTTTCGAAGCTGGCTTGGGGAAAGCCACAACTGAGCTGATGTGTTCAAACAGGAGGGAGGACATGATCTCTTGAGGTCTCTTCTCACCAGAACCCCATAATCTACAAAGCCAGGGTGCTGGAATTTCTGTTTTCTGTTCCTCTTTAAAATAAAGATAATACTGAACCAGTCCTCCAGGCTTCAGCAGATGAGCAAACAAGTAAAACTGAGAGCAGACAAGCAAGGAAACAAAAACCCAAGCAAGCAAGCAAACAAACAAACAAGGAACAACCAAACAAAAAGGACAAAAGAATTTTGTTTGTTTGTTTGAATTCCTCAGTTTGCAGTCAGCCTCCTAATTTGTGTGAATTTAATACTTTTTTCTTTTTATGTATGTTTTGGGTTGGGCTATTAATCTGTAGTCTTAGTGGAGTCACACGTGAGCACTTTGTAGTGCAGGCAGTCTCTCAATTTGCAGCATCTGGTTCAGGGGAGAAGGGGGTTCAAGTGGAGATTGTGGTGAGAGTAATGGTAATTCTGTGTGGGGTTGATGTTTGATCAGAGGCTATATGAGTTTACTGCAAGAAGCACAAGGACAGAGAGGTAGTTGCTTCACTGTAGGCTTTGCTTGCTTGCAACCTCCAAAACTAAAATTAGTATTCTTTCAATGAAGAATCAAAACAGTTATCTTTTCTGGGCCACTAGAGGCAACATTCCCTCCCAGCTCCCAGCCTTGGTTCCATACAGTGTTGTTTAGCAGCAGCTGTAAACATTGGTGTGTTATCAGCATTGTTTTTCTCCTAGAACTAAAACATAGCATTATACCAGACGGTCTGAAGAAAACAGTTCTGTTCCAGCTGAAACAAAGACAAAAGTGAAAGAAGGGAAGGAGTTAAGGAGCTGAAGAATTTGCCACGTGTTCTTGCATGGGGCAATGTCCAGGTTAGCCTTGCTGGCATTCCCAAGCTGGTCTCTGCATGGCCCTCCACACAGCGATCCCACCAGGACAAGGCTGAGCAGTGAGATCTGGGGCTCAAGTGAGAGTTTGCCTCTGATCCTGCTTGACAAAAGGGGAGGAGAGAAGGAAAAGGTAAAGACAGTCCCCGGCCTGGTGACTCAGCATCTTTACACTGTTAAGCTTTGGACTGTAAACACAGCTTTTGCACCTTTCATATTCTCTGCGTTCCCAGTCAGAACGCACCTCCATATCCTATTTCAGCCTGCCTTAAGTCACTCCATGAGCACAATGAGTGGAAAAAACAGTCCAGAGGGTGAAGAAGGAGCCGGGAGGATGAAGAGTGAGAGCTGGGGGCAGAGCAACGCTATGGGAGAGGTCAGGAGGGGCCAGGTGATCCTTGCTGCCTACCTGATTGTAACCCTGGATCTGACCTTTCTGTTCATGCAGTTTGGAGTCATACCTGTGAGTATGGATTGCTGGACACAACATTTCTTGTCTTTGGTGCAAATGGCTCTTCCAGGTTTACTTTGTTCTTTTTCTGAAGGCTGTTTAATACCCCATGCTTGCTGTGTTAGCTGTGTTGGACCGTGAGCATGAGAAGTGATTCTGATTTGTCACCTGGTGCAAAACTGATGGTTTTGATCACATCCTGCTGATTTTTCTTAGTAGATAGTGTAGGCCAGAGACTTAGTATTTATTCACCAGCTTTTCTGAGAGAAAGGTGATAAACTGGAACAGGCACAGGGAGTTGGTGGAGTCACTGACTCTGGAGGTGTTCAAGAAACATGGAGATATGGCACTGAGGGCATGGTCCAGTCCACATGGTGTGATGCATTTATGGTTGGACTTGATGACCTTGGAGATCTTTTCCAACCTTAATGATTCTATGACAAAGATTTCATGTGTAGATAGAGGAAGCTGAAGAAAGCAACTTGTCAGAATTTGGAGCTCTGGTCCTTTACATGGGCCATGAAACTCTTTATTCAGAAATGTAACATGTTTCATTTCCCCTGACCCATTGTTTTTTGTATTTTTCTTTTTTTAGTACTTGGCAAAGAACCTGGGTTTGGATTCGGTGGGGTTTGGGTACCTTCAGACAATCTTTGGTGTCCTCCAGCTCGTGGGAGGTCCTGTTTTTGGAAGGTGAGAACAATACTCATGACCCTTTTCATGGCTGAAAAAGGCCAATCTCTTATATTTTAATAATAACAATAAAAAGTTTAGTTCTGTTTCATGGCCCCGCTGAAATATTTGAAGATTTCATAACAGACCAAGGGGAAAATAAATACACTCTAATTAGAAATACTGCAACATAGAAGCAGCCTTTATGTTAACATAGCTATGTTTTAATGGCACACATTTAAGTGTAACAATATACTGGGAACAGGCTTAAGACATCGGAGTCCTCAGAGCCTAGGTCCTAATGGCTTAATCTTGCAAGCATTTTATAGCCACTTGTAACCTTAGAAATGTCCTCTGACTGGGGAACCTAGGGGAAAAAAAAGGGTATTTATTCGTGTTAAGTAGAGCTGTCAATGAAAAGACTGTAGGTCATGTTATTTCTATGGCCACATTTCCCTGAATTTAAGTCAGAGTTTAATAGAAAGTTAAAATTCCTTTGAGTTTATGTGCATTTTTAAGAACTGCTTTATCTACAAGCTCATCTACAGAAAGAGGAAAAAAGTGGGAAAAGCCTGTCTCATGGGACATGAGCTCCTGTTCCTAAAGTATGAATAGCAAGAAAAAACCTAGAATGACTGTAGGGAGCCTCTTCCCAAAGGGCAGAAAAACTTGAACAAGCAGTGTGGTGATGGGAAACTGAGGAAAACTAGCTTTTCTCCTTCGCCCTGCTACTGATCAGCTGATACATGTATAAGGTGCTGCTATGTGCTTTGTTGTCCCTTCATGGGATTCTGGTCTGTACCTGGCACATCCAAAATCTGTTTTCCCTCCAATGTCCAGAAAAGGCACTGAAGGGAATAGGAGAAGACAAAGATTCATATGTGTATGGATTGCCAATGGTGTAGATGAGTTTGAGGGTGTATGTTGCCAGACTGAAGCCAAAATTTTTGATGTAGGTTTGAGAAGAAAAGGATTTTCCTGCATGCAAGACTGCTAGAAATAAGCTGGAACAGCTTCAGTTATCACTGAATCTGGACTTAAAAAAAAAAATAAATAATCTAGCCTGATTCCTTGATCTGAACAGACTCAGAGTTGCAAAGTAAACTCACTCTTGGAGGCCCCATCAGCTCTTGCAGGGGACCAGTGAATGTGGCCAAGGTCGCTGAACAGCTTCATCCCCCTGGAACTGCACAATCCCACTCCTTACAGCCTCTCACCAATTTTGCTCTAGGTTTGCAGATCAGTTCGGCAACAGAGCTGCCTTAACTCTCTCCTGTGCATCTGCGAGTGCCTTCTTTCTGCTCCTGTCCATCTCCACCAGCATCCCCATCCTCTTTCTCTCCAGGCTGCCATCAGTGTTCATGCATGGGCTGCCAGGTAAGGTTGGTTGGGGATGAGGGACTTCCCAGTTTTTATTGCTAGAGTTCTCTTTTTGTGCCCATGTTACTGGAAACCAGCAGCATTAAAGAACATCTGTTGGGCACTAGGACTGAAACAATGAAAGTGTGAAAGAGCTATAATGGTGCTTGTAATGGAAATGCTAAGTCAAGGCCTGAAGCAGTGATTGATCACCTGGTAGGAAGGCAGGGCTAATCCAGGGGAGCTCATGTTTATGCAGTGCACCTGAGTGACTGGAAGGGGTGGAGCCAGGATCCACCCCTTCCCAGACCTCTTTTAAGGGTTGGCAATGGAGGCAAAGAGATCTTGTTGGAGATTCCTGCCTACCTGAGGGCTTCTGAGGGTAAGCAGATTCTTCTCTTTATTTCTGTGCTCACAGAAATAAATGTGTTTGAGCAAATTCTCACTTGCTGCAGCTTAGGACCTTGCTGCTCTGCTGTTATTGCTCCGTTTTCCATCACGTTACAGTGCTGTAGCACTGTAGAACCCAGAGTAGTGGCTCTGGAAAGCAGGGCTTCTTCTCTGTACGTCTGTTCTCAAGAATGATCTTGAGAATATTGCTTGGGCGTTGACATCTGAACACAGACAGCAAAATGTTTCCTGCAGCAGCCCTATCCTGAACTTCCCTGCTGCTTTTTTGCAACCAAAAGTTTTGTAGGAGAACTTTTTCATTTCTGCTGTTAAAATAAGTGAATTAGTCGCATCAATATGGGGTCACAAAAATGGCTTTTATTTCCAACACTTCCCACCAAGTTGTTCTGCTTTAGTCTGACTTTCCTAGATGTTTCTAGTAAAAGCTGTACCGCCAGCTTTAGTTGCTGGAAGACTGTGCTGGTAGAGTGTTAGCCTCTTATTGCCACTTGTGAAAGGGTTGGAGTGTCCCTTTCTCCAGCTTATAGATGGAATGAATTTCTTCTGGTGGTGTGTGTGAGAATAGGGCTTAAAGGACAGTTCTGTGGCATGTGCTGATGAGACACTGGCACAGGTTGCCCAGGAAGGTGGTTTAAGAGCTGTGGAGATGCAGCACTCAGGGACATGGTCAATGGGAATGGTTGGTGGTTGAGATTCATAATCTTAGACACCTTTTCCAACCTTAATGATTTTATAATCATAATTCATTTTGTTTTATAATTCAATGGCTTATATGCTTGTACACATTTCTTGGGCACTGCAGCAGGCTTCTTTGCAGTGATTGTTTCCTTACAGGTGCTCAGAAGGTCATCACAGATCTGACAGCTCCTTCTGAACGTGCTGCTGCCTTGGGGAGGCTGGGCCTTTGCTTTGGAGTAGGAGTCATCATCGGCTCTGCCCTGGGAGGGGTCATTTCCACCAAATTTGGGTGAGTTTGTTTGGTGTGGCCTTGCTTGCAACATGAACAAAGCTTGTAAGATTTAGAGCGTCTAGAAGGCTTCTCTAACTTGTGCTAACAGCTTTTTGCTAGCGTTTAGGGTTGATTAGGCAAAGAATGCTTCAAACCTGACCCCTGCTGAAAGGCATCTTTGTGTTCCATTGTGAATAGCACTCGAATTGAGTAACTCAGCTGTAGACCCTTCCTTGCCATGCTGGTGGCAGTAGAGGTTCACACCAGAACTCAGTATTTTGCTATCCATGTTGCTGTGAAGAACTACTTGCTGTTTTTATGGAGGCTTTTTATTATGATTTAAAAAACAAACAACAACAACAACAAAAACCAACAAAAAACCCCATGTTTTTCATAGTAGCAAAGATGTGTAAGGAAAGAAGTTGAAGTGAGAAGTGGAGCCTTTCTCCCTGCTTTTCTCTGGAGCTACGTGTGCTGAAAAGCAGCATGCACTGCATAGCCTACTTCTAACGATGTTGTACAATTGAGAAATGGAAACCCGATGCAGAGTGAAACTCTTGCAGGGATTGATGCTCAGTATGGAGAAAGATGTCAGGGAAAGGGAAAGCAAAGCTGGGATGTGGATGGGAAGAGATGGAGGAGGTCGAAGCACACACCTGTTGCTCTTCTGTATGCTTTCTAGTGCGTGGCATGATGTAGTAGGCTGTCACCTTCTGTGTGCTGCAATAGAGAAGAAATTCCTGGTTGTATTGAATTTTAGTGGTTGTTGTTTGTTATTAGTAAAATACGCAGGGAACTCTGCAGGCAGGGAAATGCATGTAGCTATTATCTTCTAGGGAAAGTCCCCCTGTATTTCTGTAGATGGTGAGGAGAAGCCTTTGCAACCTTCTGAGCATTAATTTGACTTTGTTTTTCTTACGCACTCTTGCTTTTGCAGACTCATTTTTAGCATGGAAATGGTTTATTTTTCAACCTCTGCCAGCATTGTAGCTGTTCGGTAGTGCAGGATGAAGGGTTTTCATGATATATATATATATGGACGTGTGTGTGCATACATAGACGGGTGAAGCCGGTTTCCAGGCACGGCGCTTACCTCTGAAGCAGGCTGTGCCCGCTAGGTGTCACCGTCGGCTCGTTCTGCAACTGATGTCACTAACAAATCCCCTCCCATCCAAGTCCGTGCGTCCGGCGGAGGGCAGCTTCAGCCCACAGTTCATGCGTGGCCGATGGACCATCCCATTACGGTGCCTTGGGGGCTGCTGCTCCTGCCATCTCGTAGAACGGCCCCTGCAGCATCAATAGTGACCTCCGGCTGTGTCTGTGACATTGTCCTGGAGGGAAAGGAGTGGGTGTCATGTTAAGGAATCCAGGGATCATTGTCCCTGTTGGTGCATCCCTTCCTGTTTCCCATAGTGAGACAGGAAGACTCCAGCCGTACTTGGAGCTGTGTAATCGCTTCCCTTTCTCGCACACAAATGCCCCAATTGACTTCTTTGAAAATAAATATTTCTGCCACATCACAGATGAGCAAAGCTGGAGAGTTCTGTCCATTTGGCATTCTTTGCCCTCCCTTGCTACAGAGCGTTCCCAGACATGCATGTTGACAGCATTATTCATATGTTAGTAGTGGTTTGTATACACGAGAGGGGGTAGAAGTCATTCTTGGTTCCTCGGCTGATGTCATTTTGCTATTATTCCACTGTATTGTATTTACCATTGATGTACTTGACCTAAAGAGCTGGTCTGTTATTGTTTTCATTGTTAGGCTAATATTTATTGGCTCTTATTTACCAAGGGAGCCCCAAGAAGGAAAAACTGAGTGACTTGTTCTGATCTGTTTGCCCTTTTTGGATGCCAAATCCAGATCTCCTCAGCTGTAGCCACCAGCTCCAGTCTTTCCTCTTCTCTGAAGTGCTGTGGTTTTTTTTCCCCCCCATTTTCCAAAGTTTTGAATGATGTTACAGCAAAGAAATCATCTGTGAAATGTAGCTTTGCCTTTTGCAAATGAAAGAGCTGCTTGCCAGTTGGTTTCACCCTCTTGAACTTAATTTTTAAAGGCTTACTCTTAATATGTAGCCCTGTCCTCTCACCTCTGAACAAACTGCATGCAGCCGTGGAGAATGAGCTTTTTGTGGGCAGAGTGATGGTCAGACAGATTTAAACCACCCGAGGATCAGATATAAAGCAATTAGTTAAAATTACAACTGCTTGTGATCATTGTTTGGGGAGTGTTTTTCATGTTGATGACTTTTTAATTGAAGTTTTCTGGTCATTTGACAGCTGGATGAGGATAGTGGATATAATACCCAGCTTGAAACCAACTCCTGTAGTTCACCTGAGGTCTTCATGTTATTAGCGAGCATGCAGAGTCCATCACAGCCCAGCCACAAAAGGGGCTGAGAAAAGCATCTCTGTGGTGCGCAGCACAAAGTTTACTATGCTCTGGGCACTCATTGGAAAGCTGCAGCAGATCTGTGTGCACCACGGGAGAGGTGACCGTGTACTTCTAGCAAGCTTTCGTGTTGGTGCTGCAGGTGAAGGGTGAGAGAAGGAGGCTGGATTAGTTTTCAAAAGCAGAAAGATGAGCCTAAGGTAGTTAATTAGAGAGATCTCATCCTTTCTTCTGAGCCAGTGATTAATTGCATTTGGCTCCTCTTTCTTCTTTCTTTCTAACAAGGACATACGGAAGCGTTGCAGCACAACCCAAGATTTGTTTGCTTTCTATGGACGAGGAGATGTTTCTTCATTTCAGTGACTCAGCTTTAGGCTTAAATCTCTCAGAGCAATTATTCTTTTGAACTTGGGATTTTCCTGGCCAAACCCCTTTGGTCTCTTATTTAATATTATAACAAGCTTTGGGGATGGTTGGGTTTTTTACTTCCCTTCCTGGCTGTGCTATTACCCTTCTTCCTCAAGGGGAAAGGAGGGAACTTGTTCACCCAGAGTAGGGAATTGCTTTTCTTTTCAATAACCCATTTGAACCGTGTCCTCTGGCAGGGAATTTTTCATCACTTAGCGGCTGAGTGGAAAGACTGTGGGTGTTGAAAGGGCTGAAAGTTGGGAGCTGGGAAGGCGGGTGGGAGAGTGGCGGAGGGAGAGGGGGGTGCATTCTGCTCCTGCACAAAGCCAGGCATTCTGCTGCCCAGAGCCGCTCCTGCTCGTTCCAGAAGAAACTGTGACATTTTCCTGCCTGGAATGATGTCGTTTGGTGATGCTGGCACAGGCCTTGCTTTGTCTTTTGTGCCAAGGGGCTCTGGGGAGAGGGAGGTGCCTGAGCTGCAGCGTCTGCCACCATCGGTCAGGCTCTGCGGTGCGTAGGAGGCATGGGGAGGGAATAAGAAATGGGCTGTTGGTCAGTGAGCTGACGGATTAGGGAAGGTGCAGAAAATAAATAGGAAAAAATAACACCAAAACAAGAGAACAACAACAAGGTCCAGGAGATTCAAGCCATTTCTTCTCACCTACTCTGCATGATGCTGGTTCTAGCTTTGGAAACCATCGTCTCAAAGACTGTCTGTACGGTCTATGTTAAACATCCTTGGACAGAGTATCCTGCACCTCATCTCCTAGCAACTTGTTGGATCAAGGCTAAAGTCTGGGCTGCTTCTCCCTTCCATCTCCTACAGCTCAGCTTTCCATGCCCGATGACTTGTTTAACCTATTCCTGAGCATGAGGAATGTCTCTGTGCAGGTGGAGTTCACTTAAGCTCAGACATCTACAGGGGAGGCAGCTATACCTACATCTACTGTTCAGGCTCTAGGTGGCCAACAGAGAGAAATGGGATGTTCCTTCTTAGGAAATGTGCCTGAAACAGCTCAGGGAAGTGTGTGTCTGGCTTATGGGCCCAGTGATCACATCGTGAGCTGGCTTTCTGCAAGGTTGTGTTGAGAAGGAACAAAACAACAGGATGCTGTAGGAAGGTACCGAGGTATTTTGGGCCTGACCTCAATAGAGGCAGCATGGAGGGCAGGAGGTGACCCTGATCGCTCTGCTTGTACAATGAGACAGTGTCTACTAATGACTCATTGGAACTTCATCTGCTCTTCCCAGTCCTGGAACTTTTCATGACTGGGCAGCAAATCCAGCAGTATCACTCAGGACTGAAATCCGGGGAAATACTGTTTTCTTTGTTAACACTAAACAGAAAGCACAGAATAGGCTGAGGTTGAGTCCCTGAAGTGGGATTTGGGACTTGGCTCTGCTGCAGTTTTCCTGTGATGTAAGTTGTCCCTTCCTTCTGCAGTGGTGCTCCTCAGGCATAGAATGGGGGCAATTAGATTTTTTTTTTTCCCCTCCCTCTCCTAATTCATATTCTGTACCGCTATTTGGATTACACAGCCTTTGGGGTGCTGACTCTTTCCATCACGAGATGTACGCATGCAAATATCTCCTACCTTGGAGGAACACAGCCAGTTTTTCTGGTTGTATCCTCTCCTGAGCGGGCAAAGCACAGCTGACATCCCATGTTTGGGACGCGTTTCTTTTTATTGTTTATGAGAAGCATGTGCCAGCATTTTGCTATTTCAGAAAAGCAGCAGAAAAAATGAATCCCAAACAGCCATAAAGCTCGGTGTGGTTGAGGCCGCCAGAGGAGGGGGCAAAAGAGCAGGGCTGAGCCCAGCAGGAGTTTGGAAGCACCTGGAGGGCACCGTGGGATGGTACAACCTTCCTCAAGTCATGCACGCACGCACCAACATATGCAGCGTTCTCCTTTACATCTCCTAATCCTACAGACTCTAAGGGTTGTGCTTGCACTGAGTTCTGACCTGCCCCAGTGAATGACCCAGCCCTGTGGTGGGAGTGTGGGGAGCTCAGGGCAGGAAGGATGTGTGGGAAGGATTGTTGGACAGGGAGGGGATGAAAGGTTGGGATGAATGTAAGGGCTTGGCATGGGAAGGTGGACTGGGTGGAACTGGGGTCTGCAGGCTGAGACCTCTGGCTCAGGGAGCTGAGGGATGAGGTGTGTGGGGAAAGGATTAGTGCTTTTAAATCTATCAAGGCCTCTGGAAAAGCAGAC